TTCCACTGATCAAGCTTAGTAGCTTGATCAGTGTACTGACTAGAGACTGACTAGAGACTAGGAACCTTAATGCCCCCGAGTCACGTTCAGGCACTCTAACCTGCAAAAACCATCCCTTGTACGTCTTCTGCTACAGCTACTTTGCCTAAGCAAAAGCGCAGCAGTACTCCAACTAAGTTAGCTGCGGTATTTGGTTCTGAAAATAATTATTGGTTAGGACAAACTCCTTGATAGTTGGCTGCACAATCAAAGACTATTCTAACCTTTGCAGGTTTCTTTGGGTTTACCACCGAATTAAGTGGAAGGTGTATTTCATGCTGAATTTTTGAAAATCCTTCCAAACCCATAATGGTTTATGGTGAAACAACTTTATCTGTGTGTTGCTTCTCTATTGACATTTCTCGATCACAAACACCATACATCATTACTTATCTGTTATTTCGATGCCCGGAACCTTTGAATTTTGCGTGGTTTGAGAACGTGAGCGACTGTTTGCCTCTCTCTGGTCATCTTATTTGGCTCGCTTGCTTGAGTCCTCTCGGCCGCATATTTCAGGTTTGCCTTATTGTACATTTTAATGATTTTGTTAATTCAGTACCATAGAACATTGCAGATCAATTGTGTTTTTACTTCGGGATTCGTATCGGGGTACCACTTAGGTCTGTACGCGTCTTCCAGTCGATAGTCAGGTACGCGGTCAAAATAGCCCTTTCGAAAGTGGTCGTTCAATAAGCTATGGTACCTATTAGATAAATTTGGATCTCGCATAAACCTGCGTTTCAGGCATTCTAACCTCCGAATCACTAGCCCGTAACTGTTTGGCATGGTCTCCGGTTTGGTTTTCCACGTTAATCCGATGCTTAATCGTTTCCCATCATGGTTTATGGATTCCTCTGCTATTGGTAACTTTCGACGATCTTCCTCGGAGTGATGTATGACCATCGTATGCAGGTCTTCAAACTCCTTGTTATATAAGTCCTCCAACAATATGCTAGTTTTACTCTCCCGAGTAATTGTAAACATTTGTTTGCAAGCTGTTACGCTCAACGACGGTCCCATAATCAACCATCTCAACGCAGTTTCGATTGCAAAGAGCTCATTTGGCCCGCCGTATCGACCATTAGTCAACCAATGAGCTTGGGGACATCACAACCTATGATAAACTGAACCCTAGGATTGGTCAGATGCTCCCTTTCTATACCGTTTACATGGGTTAATGGATCCGTTTGTTTCTTAGCCGGTACTGAGCTCTTGGCATTAATAGATCGTCCATTGTGTATGTAGTGCTTACCTCAATGCCATTATCATTCCTAAGGAGGCTAACTTCGGATGATACCTTTTGATTAACTATATGTCGCTCTCCAGCCACGGTATGAACGTTCATTCGTACTCCGGGCAACATAGCCCTAACAGTTCGGAAATCTCCTTACTAAAAATTGTAGTATCCAAACCGCTTTCTAGCAAGGCATATACCTTCAACAATTTATCGCCTTGCAATATTTTTACCGGGACTATTCCGAGGTAAGTAATATCATTCGGCGCGGAACAGGAATCGCCACGATTACTTGCGCATTCTCGGACACTTGATCCCTAGGCGACAAGTGAAGCAGGCTATGGTGCTTGCCAGTGCAACCATCAACCAAGCATTTACCTATTTCTCCACATTCCCGCGCTAGGTGTCCATATTTAATGCACTTATAACAAGGCTTTAATTTATCCACAGTGTTCTGTCTCTCCACCACATCCGACTTGAGGAAACCTTCACATTTTGTAAGTGAGTGTGATTTCCGACACAAAGGGCAATGAAAGTTCTGTAATGATGATGATGCTTGTCTTGTTGTAGTGATGTTCATATGCGTGTTTCACCGAGGGCCCCAGGGGCGATTAACCTCTAGTGAACGCCTTGTGTCCACTAGCCTTTCAAAAGTGCCGTTCTGAATCCTCGACTCCGCTTTTATCATTCCAATAAAGTCGATAAACCGGTACCGCCCACCATTGGATACGATCCTATCCGCCACTTCGGCCCACGTACGTTGTTAGCATCTGGACAATCTTGTAACTAATGACTCCAGCTTGGGTATGGAATCAAACTCAGATCCACATCCCATTTCCGTTAGGACCATGTAGCAGCTTCGCAATTTAATGCTAAGCCTGCTCAATCCCTCGACTGTTCCACTCGATTCTGCTGTTTTAGCTAGAACGTCCTTTACTACAGCCCTGACTGCTTCGTGCGGTCGATCGAATAATTTATCCAGTATCTCCCTGGCCGTATAGTACCCATCTTCCTCTGACATTAGCATGCACGGTTCTATTGTCTATCCAGCTGCTCACTTACAGTAGTGTAACAGATAAGCCAGTTTTCTACCTTTCCCACAAGAGAGTCTAGCAAAGAAGCCGTCGAACTACCGTTTTGAATCACCAATATTCTGTAGCTTTGCCATCGAAAGAAATGAGTTCTAGCCTAGGTGCCTAGGTGCAGGTATTTTTCTCACGCCCCTACTAAACTTCCCTTCGAGCACACTCTCTCGTAGATAGGTTTCTACCCTTTTCTTGTAGCTTGACTTGGAGCACCTGAATGCTGCGTCTTCTGCATCGCTGTTGCGCTCAGCCTCTGCAAGAGCCAGCTTAGTCTCGGCCTCGCACAGTTGTTGGCGAAAGACAGCTTCCTTTATCTCACATTCTAATCTGTGTCTATCTCTCAATAACCGTGGTTCTAATTCTGCCTTTTTCATTGCAGACCTCGTGTTGCGGTGTGATCTCCCCAAAAATGGCGCAGCACTCGAGCCCTTAAGGAACGTGGTTTCTTCACCTTCTTTCTCTCCTGGGGAGGGTTGTCTGACTGAGGTCGATTGACCAAGTTGAAACAAAAATAAATTCAATTTAGGAATAAAATACTGAAGACAAAGCAGAAGAATGTAGAAAAGCTTATAGAACTTAAATTGACTACAGTATCGAACTGTAACGGCGACCCGAAAAACGTTCAATACGTATCGCAATATCTCGACCTCGACTGACCAAATTTCCAGCACGCACGAAAACAGTTAAAGGACAGTTGAAATTTCTCCCACTGCGTGTTCGATATAGCCCAACTCTTGATTTTGTTTCATGGCTTTACAATAGGCTTCTTTCAACTGTGCGTTCTTTATCAATCGTCTCTTCAGATATTTGAGCCTATGGAGGGCTATTTCTCGATAAATGGGCAGTCGATTGGATCCTGTTTGCCAAGGTAACGGCACTTCAAACTGAGTTCCGTTGTGTCGTGTCATTTCGGTTATGACAGCCAGGGCTGCTCGGTCTTCCCTCGACATAGACACCGGGTCATCTGCCAGGTCCCCGAACTCGTGGTTGTATAGCCGCTCCAGGTCGTCTCCTATGGGACTATCTGGCCACGAGATGTAGTTGATTGAGGCTGAGTAATTGCCACCCTTAATGAGCCGTCCGTGAAGTATCCAACCAAACATCGTACGCACAGCGTATGGATCTCTACAGCCCCCTATCCATTGATCCAAAACCCAATGCGCCTCGGGTACGTCACAGCCGATCAATATGTCCACTGGGGTACCCGGAACATCCTCGAACGTCAGGTCGTGGAGATGGGGCCAGCACCGCGCTAGCGACCGGATACTCTCGGAAGCTCTCGTTGGTAGGTCGGCGATAGTAAATGCATGGTGCACCTTTATGGTATATTCCCACGATGTAGAGGCCAACTTCAAACTCAGTTGGGAAGCTCGAATTACTCTTGCCTCATCTACCGTGCTGATTACCAGTGAGGTGTTTTGTCCTCCCAAGTCGCATTCTCGCGCAAAGCTCTCTCACACAAGAGTGGTATCCGATCCACTGTCTAGAAACGCCACGGCTTGGACCAAACCACGGGGAGACTCCACTTGAATGGGTATTATTCCCAAGCGGACCGACCCACTTGACACACGTCCGATAGTGCTGACGGATTTCGGTATATCCCACACACAGTCTTTGTGGGTTATATCGACCCGGCCATTATTTGTTCGTGGCTCGACCCCTCCATCGTTGTGCAGTAAGGGATGATGTTGAACACTGTAGTTGTTTTGACCACATCTGGTTTGGTGTCCGCTTAAGTGCACAAAGCAGGAACCTTTCTTTTTAGCTATTGTATAACGCTCCATCACCTTCATTGCCAAAATGCTCTGGGCAGGTTACAAGCTTGTGGACACCTGTGCACAGTTTGCACTTAATCGGTTTGTGTGGCCCATATGAGATTAAGTTGGTGTTCGTCCAGTTTTGTGGAGGATGGAGATCTCGAGATCCAGATGGTGCGAATAGGGTTAGAGGTCTGGCGGTTCTGATGCTTTCTCTGGCCAGTTGACCGAATCTACTGCTTGCTATGCGAGGTTGGCAGCTTGTGAATTCAGTGAGTAGTGAGTTCGTCAAAGGTTGCATCTCTGTTCCTTTTCTCGATTCGATCGGGCTCAGTCGCCCAGGCTGTCCGCAGTTCGGCAGGCAAACATCCGACTATCGATTCAAGCGTATGTAGTGCATCCAAGTCCGATTGATAATCGAGGTGATTGAGGGCGATCCTGCAGTTCTACATCTTGATGACTAAGTTTTATGGAGACCTAGTATTGCCTCGTGTGAGTCTTGCTTCTGCCAGCACCCCGTCAATCATGTTTTGTGCCACTCGGAATGGTTGGCCAAACATCTCCTTCAGTATATTCCTGGCTCTCGGGTAGCCCACTTCCAGGTCTAGCATTGCACACCTTTGTATGGCTTCTTTGGCTTTCCCACGATAGTAGTACAGCAGGAACAGAAACCTTTGCTCTGCATCAGTGGTTTCGCATTCGACGAAGTTTCCGTATTGGTGAATAAGTTGGCAGTAATGTTCAGGATTGCCGTCGACAGGTGTCAGTTCAACACTTGGCAAATCAGCATTCACATGGGCATACGTTCTTTGCTTCAGGACGGATTCTTTATTCGGAGAAAAGTAACTATGTGCAGTTTCAGCTCGAGGTGTTTTTGTGGCGTTGAAATTGGTCCATTCACGTTTGGTCTATTCTATCTGCTGTCTAGCTAATCTAAACTTATGCTCTAACTCAGAAACCCGCAATTTAAATATATCGCTATTCTTGGTATTTGAATCTACACATTAAACAGCACTGACATGAATAACAGACCTAATATTTTCTAAAGAAACAAAATTATCCACAGTCCCCCCTAGTGACTTGCCGGGTTACTTCCCGTTAGGTTCCTGTTTTCTTAGTTCCTCGTTTGGGCATCTTCGAAATAGTTTTCTCGTTTGATTCCAATTTGAGTGCTGCACGTCAACCAATTCGCACTTGAGTGACGCGTGGCCGAAATCGATAAGAATCCCGAAATAAAACACGGTTGATCCGTGATGGTCTATGGTACTGAATTAGCAAAATCATTAAAAAATGTACAACAAAGCAAACTTCAAATATGCGGCCAAAAGCACTCAAGCAATCGAGAACCAAATGGAATATCCAAAGAGAGCGAACAAGTCGATCACGTTCTCTATCTACGCCAAATTGAAATGTGGCGGGCATCGAGTCAACAGATCAACAATTGTGTGAGTGTTTGTGGGTGAGCATACTTCTTGAGGTCGTGAAGTAGTACTCGGGTTCGAGGCTTACGCCCAATATTCCCGGTTCCGGATTCGTCTTTTTTTCTGCAGTTCGGTTCACGAGCTGAAAGGGACGTTGACGGAAATGGGAGCTGGCTCCAATATGGTGCCGCTGGGTTAAGAGTGCACGCATAGCGAAAAATTTAGAGGATCAGTAGGAGGATGTGAGAGGTGATAGGGACAAGCAGGATGAGTTGGGGGTGTCCTCCAGGAGATGAAGGCCAATTAGATCCGGGGGATGGTAAGCCCTAGGCGTGAGTCTAGCAGTGTTTTGAAGATCCTTTTGGAGGCGGATTTCACAATCTCTAGTGGAACTTTGTTTCATTCTGAGATGACCCGGTACGTGAAGAAGTTGGAGCGGATGAAGTTTCTGGGCCGGTGTTTGGAGTGTTTTCTTGGGTGTCCCCTTAAGCGTCCCAGGCTAGAGCGTGTGAAGAAACGGTCAAATTGTCCTGAAGTAAAAAGGTCATATAGAAGGAAAAAGTCCCCTCTGATACGTCGTATGTCTAGAAGGTATACATTTAGCTGTTGTAGTCGGATAAGATAAGGGATTTCTGAAAAGCAATGTACTAGTTTCGTGGCCCTTCGCTGCACACGCTCTAGTGAGGCGCGGTCGCGAATGAGGCCAGAATGTGCAATTTGGCTGCAATATTCTAACAGTATGTATCTTCCATAGAGGAAAGGGCAGTCTTCTTTGGTTATATGCGGGGAAGATCGTTTGATAAGGTTTAGAATACGAAAAGCGCTTTTACTGGCTTTTTGGTTTTGGGAAGAAAAGGAGAGGTTGATAATCAGCCAGAAACCAAGAATTTTTTGCTGATTCAGCAGTTGGATACGAGTTGAACCGTTTACCCAGAAAGGTTAACCAGGAGCGCTGCCAAAGGTTATGACTGACCAATATTTTGTTTGGTCGATCGCCGACTGCACTTGGGATGCGTCTGTGCCCCAAATAGTGACATCATCCGCATCATCTTTCTAGGAAGACTTTTAGGGAGATCATTAATATAGATCAGAAATAGAATGAGACTTAGTACGGAGCCCTGTGGGACTCCTATTGAGACTGGGGTGGGCGGAAAAGCGGATTTGCCTATTCGAACCGCAAAGGAGCGATTCAACAGAAAACTAGTAAGCAGGGGGAGCAATCGGCCAGTGATGCCTTAACTCTCTAGTTTGTACAGGAGAGGGACGTGTGGCACTCTGTCGAAGGCTTTGGCAAAGTCTATGAAGATCGCGTGCGAAATATGATATTCCTCATAGGCACGGGTTAAGCTATCCATTAAGGTCAGCATATTGGAGATGCATGACCTGTTTGATAGGAAGCCGTATTGGAAAATGTGTACCAAGCCGTTCTCAGTTAGATGTCCTAGAATACGCCGTTTGATGAGGCGCTCGAAGATCTTACTGGGAATACTGTTTAGGCTGATGGGCCTATAGCTAGTAGGTAAGTGTCTATCGCCTTTCTTATAAATAGGAATAACAGTAGCCCTCTTCCACTGTTGTGGAAGGGTTCCTGTGTACAAGCTTATTTGAAAAAGATGAG